GGGAGGGGATATGCCTTGCCCAAGGTGGCACAGCTAAAAAGAGGAAGAGCCAGGATTTGAACCCAGGTTCTCTGACTTTAAACCCAGCACAATTTTCCCACCGTACCATGATACCTCCAAATCTGCCACCTCAGTAGTGCCAATGTCCCACCCCAGAGAACCCTGCCTACCCAGAATTTCCTCCCACACTTGGTTCTTCCAGCTAACTGATGATATATGACATCAATATAGCTGCCTCTGAGTTTGTAAACAGGTTGTAAGCGCCAGGGCTTGTGTATGCATGTAGGGCTCACAGCAGGAGGTGCTCCTATTGTCCTCAATTAACAGATGAAGAAACTGAGGCTCAGAGAATTGAACTGGGTCACATAGCTAATAAGTGTCACATGTAGGATTTGAAACAATGCCTTCCTGACTGTAAGTGCAGCATTCCAGTCACTACGCCATGGGCCCAAAGACCAGCGTATTTTCTTTTCAATATTTTTCAGTCTCTCTAGTCTCTGTTTTATTCTACTTCAGTCTGACCCCTCTTCCCTCCGTCCTCAAGCTGTGCATGTATGTGCAATACAGCAGGTGCATAGCATAATCAAGTCAAGAATGGATCTATTAACAAGACAACAGCAGGTCTGGGCTGTTTTCTATCAGGGAAGCGTACACTCAGGTATCACTACTGCCGATCAACAAATCAAATCCTACTGGGAGCTTCCCTCCCTCCCTTCTTTCATTCCTTATTTCCTTCCTTCCTTCCTCTTCTTCTAAAGCGAGTTCTGGACTTTATTTCGGCTTTGCTTCTGAATCTGTTTCTAATATCTAGACTTTGGAGAAGATGCTGGAGAGGGCTTTGGCACACAACAGCCAAAATACAGAAGGAAGAAAGGAAAGGGATAATTCTATCTCCAGCAAGAGACTGTTCTAGCAAGATGATGAAGGATAGTCAAAGTGGAAAAATTCAAATGAATTTTGAAATCAATGATGAGTTAAAGCAACTCTGAGGTTCCACCTCATACCCAGCCAATTGGCAAAGATGACGAAAGAGGAAAATGACAAATGGTGAAGGAGCCGCAGGAAAACAAATGTACAAATGTATTGTTGATGGAGCTGTGAATTGGTCCAGTCATTCTGGAAAAGCAATTTGGAAGTATGTCCTAAAAGTATACATATCCTTTGACCCAACTGTACTATTACTAGGCCAAAGAGATATAATATTATGTGTGTATTATATACATATATATATATATAAAATATACCAAAGAGATCAAAAGAGGAAGAAAAGGATCCATAGGTTATATACATATACATATGTGTGGAAGTGGATGTGTGTGTATATGTGTGTGTGCATGTGCGCGCATGCGCGCACACATACACACACACAAACACATATATATCAGCTGTTTTCAGAGTAGCCAAAAACTGGAAACTAAGGTGGTACTTAACTGATTTGGGAACGTCTGAACAAATTGTGGTATATGAATGTAATGGAGTATTATAGTGCCAAAAGAAATGACGAAAAGGATAGTTCTAGAAGAAACTGGGAAGCCCTCTAAGACCTGATATGGAGTGAAATAAAGAGAACATGAACAGTTTATACGACGGCAACATTATAAAGAAAAACAATTTTGAAAGCCTTTAAAATTCAGCCCAATGCAATGAGAGACTGAGTCCAGAGGCCTAAAGATGAAGAATGGCGCTGCCAGAAAGGTGATGACCTGAAAATCCAGAGTGAGACATGCATTTTTGGACTTGGCCAATGTAGCAATGTGCTTTACCGGGCTACCCAAGTTTGTTATGAGGGTTCTGTTTTTGTTCATTGCTCATTTTGGGTGGGGGGAGCAATGGGAGAGAGGGATTGTTTTTAAAAAAAAAAAAGGTTCAAGTATGTCAGAAATTGAGGGAAGGAAGGTTTTCCAAAGGGGACCAGGGCTGAGATTTTGAAACCTGATCTTCGTCTGCCATCTAGCGATGGCAGCTACATCCTGCACAGCCATGTGCTCCCCAGTTTTCACTAGCAAATGCTGCTGGCTTCCTTTGAATTTTTGTAATAGACTTATTCAAAAATTATGTCAGTTCCCCTTAGAAGCATTACAGTTCAAGAGTGTCCTTTCACTTTTAGGACCAAAGCTTACTAATAAAACTTACTTAATAAAACTAATTAACATTGGGTCTCCAACTAGTGTTTTAGAGAAGAGAATGGGTAAGGAAGGAGTATATCAGGAAATGCCTATGACCTAAAACCAAACGGTATCAATAATATTTTTTTAAAAACAAAAGTAAATAAAGGCCAAAAATCAGGTAGAGAGTTGACATTATTTCTGCAGCCTACAGGCTAAATAGAGTATGGAAAACCCTATTTGTATAAGTGAAATGTAATCACAGTGTCTGTCTCCCAGATGTTTAAAATGGAGCTCACTTAAAATAGTCTGGTCCCTTGGGTGCTGGTGGTACAGCCTTCCCAAGTTTCAAGTGCAGGTATGTTTCAGGGTCTCTCCTGGGAATGCATTAAGCTCATCAGACACAGGAAATGTCATAGTCATTATATGATGGAAAGACTTTTCCTAGGAGACAGAAACACCAGGCTGATATACAGTTGGGCAAATATGGTGAATTAATCTGGTCTGCTTTTTCATAGGGTCATAGATTTAGAACTGAAGGAGACCTTAATCTAGTCAACCCTCTCATCTTATAGGTGGGGAAACTGAGATCAAGAAAGGTGAAGTGACTTGTCCAAAATCTCATGGGCAAGGGACAAAGACCCAAGTCACCCCCCTCTAACTTAAATTCTAGCATTCTTGCCACTGCATCATGCTTATTTATATGTGTATGTGTGTATGTTTATGTGTGTATGTATATGTATGCACCCAAACATAATACATATACATACACATGAATGAACATATATGTATGCATAAATATATATATACATATATATTTAAAAGTGATGGACTTTTTATTATACCATTTGCCCCATTTTAAAGGGATCAAGTGACTATGCCACTTATTACCAGTGTGACCTTGGGCAAGTCACTCCAACTATGTGGCCTCAGTTTCCTTATCTATAAAATGAAAGAAGTGAACTAGATTCCCTTTAATATCTCTTCCAACTCTAGTTTTAGGATCCTCAGGCCCTATGCTTGTTAAAATCCAAGTGAATTCTGTTCAGTGTTATCTCAAGGGCAGAACACAGCCCCACTCTTCCCACCCTGCCCCAAACAGGGATTTCTGTGCCAACCTTCTGTTTCAAGACATCGTATTTATTTGGGGAGAAAATTTTGTTCTGGTTTATAAATAATAATTTATAAAGTGAGCATCTCCCAAACAAAATCTGGGACATTGGATAAAACAGACCGAAATAAAACCAGACTAGGCTGGCTTCCCAGAGAAGCAGCCAGCCCTAATCAACTTGTCAAGGGCGGGGGATGAGGAGGGTGTGGGGTGAGGAGCAAAGCACAGCATAGCACCCAGTAACAGGAGAAGGCCCAATTGAAGAAGGAAAAAAAAATTCAATTGTTAAAAAGACACAAAATGAAACCTTGTTGCAAAATAGATTGTTACAGGCACGAGCATAGCTATAGAAAGAGAAAGAAGCCAGACATGATCAATCAATAATCTCTTATTAAAATACCACTGAGTGCTCCTAAAACAGCAGAGAGCCACTTGTCAGGCCTAAAGGTGTTGGGGAAAATTGTCAAGGCAACCCACCACCCAATAGGAACAGGCCGAAGCAGCTTATCTTGGGCTTCTGAGGAGTCAAAAAAAAAAAGCTTGGCTTGAATTCACTGCAGAGGAAGAAGCAGGATAGAGCAACGCCTGCACAGTTGTGGCCCGTCTGCATTTACAGGCCAGCCAGAGCTCCTATATCAAAATCTCCCAAGGTAAGGTTATTATCACTTTCTTTATTTGGGTCTTGAGATATTTTTTTGGGGGGGGGGAGTCCTTTCCATCCCTGGCTAGCTCTAGTTAGAATTTTCATTTCTTAGATTTCAAGCTGAAGGTGGTCTGTTTCCTCCAGTACAAAATGAAGGGGTTAAACCAGATATTCTTTGAGGGCCCTGGAATCAGGGACCTAGAATCTAAACTATCCCCTTCTCATTTTCCAGAGGAGGAAACTAAGGCTTCAGGAAAGGAAGTGACTTGCCCAAGGTCACACAGCTAGTCAGTTCATTTGGAAAGACAAAATCCCCAATGCTATAGAGCAGCATTGGTTAAAATGCTTAATGAGTGGTCCAGAAAGTACAGGATCTCAGGGCATTTTTTGTATGTTCAGAATTATGGTTTCTATAGCAGTGCTCCCATGCATGTCCTAAAGCCAAAAAAAAAAATCCCATGAGGTTTTAGGGCCATGTGCTCTCTGCTCAAGATTTACTCTCTACCCACTAGGTGACGCCACAGTGCACAGAGTGTTGGGCCTGGAGTCAGAAAGCCTGGGTAACTTTGGGCACGTTGCTTAGCAATGCTGTTTGCCTCAATTTTCTTATCTGTAAAATAGCATCTACTCCCAACTCCCTAGGTATGATCAGATGAGATAATATTTGTAAAATGCTTAGGCTTAGCACATTGCCTGGCACATAGTAGGTGCTTTAAAATGCTTGTTCCCTTCCTTTTTTCTACCTCCTCCCGTCCAAAAATTGGACTCCACCCTTATTTAGGCTTTGATCCAGGCTTTCTGGTACAGCTATCACCCCACCCCCACCTCCACACATTTAAATGTTGCCACTTTCAATTACAATGTTAATTTTTTGAGGGCAGAGACCATCTTACTCTCTTACTTTCTTGCATTTGCTGCCCCAGCACTTAGCATAATGTCTAGCACAAAATGGCCGCTTAATAAATGCTCTTTCAGTCTAGCTGTCCAGAACTACAACCTAGGTCTCTTTGGTCCCACTTAACCGATTCCATCTTGTAGAATGCTCAGAACTGCCTCTGGGATAAACTGAGGCCCACTTTGAAAACTGTAACTTGGAATATAATCATGTTTTCTTTTAACTCAGGTGAGAAAAGGTGAGACTCTTAAGGCCTAGGAGAGCTCAGAAGAAGGTAACTTATTCTATCACAGTGATATTCTAAATTGGATTGTCCAATCTGGTGCATAGTTCATTTGGGGGGAAATGGGACCTGTGATCTCAAACTGCCTCTCTCACATGTAAGTACTATATAAAAAACAGCTATTGAGAGAAAGTCATTAAAAGAGCTCAGGCTTTGGGGTTAGGAACTGTTACCACTGCACCCTGCCCACTCCCCAGGCAAGCATTTCATTTCTATTACTATTAATAAGGAGTATTTAGTATTAATACCAGGAATTAATAAGGAATATTTAGTATTAATATTAAATACCAATTAAACACCAAATTAAATATGAATATATTAATAAGGCATATTAGTATAATTAGTATTCATAGGAGTTCTGTAGCAAGACTGTCTCAACTTGGCTCACTCTGGGCCTATCTCTCCTTAACCCAGTTAGAAGTCCTGTAGACTCCGAAACTTTTTTTTTGGGTAGGCAATGGGGTTCAGTGACTTGCCCAGGGTCACACAGTAAGTATCAAGTGTCTGAGGTTGGATTTGAACTCAGGTCCTCCTAACTTCAAAGCCAGAGCTCTATCCACTGTGCCACCTAGCTGGCCCCAAAACTTTTAAAAGACAATGGACAAAGGGGACATTTCTAGGGAGAGGAGAAAGAGAAGAGAGGAAAGGAGGGAAGGAAGAGTCATGTACTAACTAGAGTGTGGACTGACCCTCTTTCAAATTCAAATCCAGAAGAATTTACCACTTCCTGACTTGGGATGAAATACTCTTTTAGAAACCATAATTTTAAAATTTAGAACATACAAAAGATTTCCCTTCCCTGTGCTGTTCTACAGATTCTTTGGGGGGAGGGTAGGAAAAATTGGGCTTAAAATTTCTCACCATTAAGGAACACAGAGGTCATGGGATCAGAGGTCTAGAAAGGTCATTTAATCCATCCCCCTCATTTTACAGGTGAGGAAACTTTGAAGGCCCTAGAGGTGAGGTGACTTCAGATTCAGCCTTCTTTATACAGCACCATCCTGCTGCCCCTCTTAGTCCACCTTGGGCCCCATGCTAGAACCCCCTTCATAGACAGCCTCTACCAGCTTACATGTGTTTACACAAGAAACAAAACTGTACCTTAATTAACAATAAAAGTACAGAAACTCAATTATCCTAGTTAAAGTCCTAGCTTTGTAATTATCTACCTGAGTGACTTTGGGCAAATCATTTCCCCGCTCTGGGCCTTGGTTTCCCTCCTCTGCAAAAGGAGATGTTGAACTGGAGCAGTCCAGGACCCTTTTGGCAGATCAGTGAAACCTATGAACCCCTTGTCAAAATAATTAATATTTTTAAAAAATTGAAGGAAACACTTAATTCCGTTTAGAGGTTACCAAAAGAAACACATCATTTTTCCCATCCATATTCACATACAACCTAAAATCTAGTGTCAAACCATGGACCAAAGGTTAATAACCCCTGGAATACAGGATCTCTAAGATCCAGTTACCAAAATCAGTGGACTAAGGTGGTATCTACTAAATCACCAACATTAAATTCACCCCACTTCAAAGTACTTCCTTAGTCTTTTTTTTTAGGGGCAAGCTGGTCACACTGTTTATTTGCATCTCCAAAGGGGGAGGGAGGAGAGTTTTGCGGGGTGGTTTTGTCTTTACAAACAGTGAGTGGAACTCATAAAGGTCCTTTTCACTGAAAGAGGGCAGAGAGAAGGAAGGACACTTACGGAAGGCACAAAGAGTTGGGGCAGACCTTGGGTAGGGGGGGAATCGACTGAAATGACAGAATAGGCAAAGGAGGGAGGAGTGAAGGTGGGGTAATGGAAAGGCATTGTGGGGTTGCTGTACCCCTCCCATACCAGGGGCAATGACAGGGACCTGCCTGGCCAGGCTGGCCTGGAGGGAGCCCACCCCCACTGGGCCCCAGGGGTCTGTTTCAAGACATGGCCCATGGGGTCTCTGGCTCATGGCATTGAGCTGGGGGTGGGGAGAGGTCTTGGGAATTCAAAGTCAACAGATTCGGGGAGAGGAGTGTGCACATGTGCATGTATGTGTATATATTATATGTGTGTGAAGAGGGTACCCAAAATCATTACCACAGACAACTTTGGGTTAAAGAGATGGCTCCAAGCAGTTGGGGGTGGGGATATTTCTAGCATATATATCCAGAATTAGGGGGAGGGGTGGCAATAGTCAGGGAAATGTTAGATCAAAATAAGAGGAAATCATATCTGTTTTCATAGTGGAAAAATTGCCACACAAGTATTCTGGGTATGTACCTAATTTCATATTTAATATTTTGGAGGGAAAAATATCACTAGCATTGAAATCCGTATGTTACCCCTATTCGTACCACATGGGACACCAGTCAGGACTGCCAAAACCAGTGTGGTTAAGGATGGCCTCTAACCTTCCGTGACCTACCAGTCCAATAACCCTGTCATAAAAGGAAAGGACAGGCTGGCAGGACTTCATCTCAGTGGGCTCATGCTGGCTCCTGGTGATCACCATTTACTTCCCTTTCTAAATACTTCCAAACTCCCTAGAATACAGTTTTCCTGGACACTGTCATCTAGCTCAGTAGGCTGTAGCTTTTACAATTCACAAAATTGGGAACTACTGAACCATGGGGTCATGGGTGTGAAAGAAGTGCTCTTCCTGGTAGTGGCTGACTTGAGCAATCACAGGGGCAGGGAGGGAGTCTTTGTCCCCAAACTCCTTGGTCCACTAAAGGAATGACCACAGGCCAGCCAAGATTGGCCTTCATAAACCAAACCCTGATCCAGAAGCAAGCCCAGGGACAGCTGGCCTCAGTTCAGCAAGGACATGAAAGTGGGCCAGGCTACTCCAGAGGGAGGGGCTCACAAAGAGCCCAGCTCCCACAGCTGGGCCTGGGCCTGGGCTGGGGCCCAGGACATCTAGGGTGTGCATGGCCCTTGTCCTTCAAAGTAAGGGCCCAGCTCCAAGACTTTGGGTCTTTCTAGACCTTCCTGGGCTAGAGGCAAGGGCGCATCCTTTTGTTCCCCACCAAACCCAAACTGGCCAGCAAAGCAGATAGGAGAAGGTGGCACAGGAAAGTGAAAGTAGAGTCTCTAGGCAGCTCCAAATCAAGTCATCCCCTCCTACCCCGGGCCTGGCTCAGCCAAAGAGAGAAGCACTAGATGGAGAAGGCCCAGGGGGTCAAGGAGGGGAGAGAGCACGATCAGCTAGGAAGAAGCATGCTAGGGGTACCCACAGCGATAGACGGCCTTGGGTCTACCTTGGGCGAGGTTGAGTGCCTGTGGTGGGGAAGTCACCCAACCTTTCTACAACTGCGTTCCCCCTCTGTAGAAGAAGGGGTTCCAAGGTTTCCAAGGGCCTCCGCTGTGATTCTGTAGGGGCACCTGCTGCCCACAGGTGGGAAAAGGGCCTTACCCCTTGCCACCCCATGTCCCAACTACACCTGGCTCACCCTGGGGGAGGCTAGCATTTGAGGGCAAGTTTGGTCCAGACTGACCATCTCAACAGCCTAGGTCTTGTCCCCACTTTGGAAAGTGGAACGTGGGAGGTCTAGACTCACCAGCAGGTTCTAGACCTGGTCTCTGTGCCCGAAGAGAGCCTCAAGGCAGAGTTGGAAACTCTACAAACTACACAGCCCTCATTCTTGTTTGGGGGGGGAGGGAGGGAAGAGTACATCTGTGTGTTTGTAAATGAGTTTAGGGGACTGTGGCTAGGTTGAGTATGTGTCGTTTGAATCGATGGACCTAGATGTCTCTGTCTATCTGAATGTCCGTGTGTCTGTACGGATGCACTTGTCTGATTGTGTATCTGGAATGCTTGGGGGGGGTGTGGGTGTGGGTGTTGAGTTACAGGTCTGTGTAATCTGGTCCTGGGTCCCTGCATACAATATTTCTCAGTGTGACCAAATATGTGTGTTTCTGGAACAGTGTGCATCACTCTCTGAGTTGTGTCTGGGTGACTGGGCATCATTGATCTATGTGTATGTCAGTGTTTGGTGTATGTCAGTGTTTGGTGTGCGCACAGGGCTGCAAGTGTGTTGATTTCTGAGTACGGGTGTGTGGGTGTTGTTAAGAATATGTTAAGAGTTGCAAGAGAAACAGGTATATGGTTTAATTTTCTGTTTCATAAAGAGACTTTCATGTCAATAAAATCCACGTGTGTGTGTGTGTGTGTGTATATGTGTGCGTATTGTCTGTCTGGTGTGTGTGTGTGAAGACGCCGGGCCTTGGCAGTATGGCCAGAATGGGCATAGCACAGAGAGGCTCAAAGACAGTGTCGGGGCCAGGGGATAATGGACCCTGGGGGCCTCACATTGTAGAACAACATCTGTTTCTTCACATCCGGGTCTCAGTCTGTGCTGGCCGGGATGTCTGCCCGAGGACTTTAGAGGCCCGGATTCTCCCCAACCTGGTTCTCTTCCTTGTGTGGGGGTACTTCCTTAGTCTTAATAGGCGTAGTAAGGATTGGGTGTTCAGTTGAATTAGGCACCATCACAAAACCATGGGATGAAATTGAAACAGCCCTCTAGATGCCTTTTAACCACCTCCTCCTCCATCTACTTTCATTTTCTTAGTTTTGTCACCCTCAAGACATCAACCACCCAGCCGGATTGGCTACCCAAGGGGAGGTGTCTTTGTATATTTTTTATTATTCAAATGATGCTTCACTTGGCACTAGTTTTATTCAGTGTTTCTACTTCTCGGGTACCCATTGACTCTGAGCAGAAGACTGAGGACACAAGCAGACAGCTCACCACTGAACTTGGTGCCAATAGGGAAGTGCTCCAAAGCTCAGAGCTTGGAGTCACCCCGCCTGCTTAAAGGCCTTCTTTCCTGAAGATGAACCATCCCACCTTTTGGTTTGGTTTTACTCACCATGACAACCAGAGCCTGCCTCATAGGAGTGGTCAGGTGGGTGTGACATCATAATGAAGGAGCAGTTAACAATCCAGACCCTCAGGGAAAAGGCAGTGTGTTTTTTTCCTAGGACCCGAGAACATCTCAGGATTGTTTTGAACCCTTGCTAGAAAGGGGACAAACAATGGGGGAATGTTTATTTTAAAATTCCATTTTCTCCTACAGGTTAAAACAATGGATCGGTTTCCAGTGCACATTTGGGTGGTATTTTTGTTTCTTTCCACGGAATCTCTGCTTCACATCTCCGTTTATTCAGGTGAGTCGAAACTGACTTTTTAACTAGGATGATTTAGGATAAATTTTAGGATTTTTAACTAGGCTGAAATGGACATGATATTCCTATTTCGCTGATGACTGTTGTGAAGGGTTGGGATGATGCTGGTATGTTGTTCGGCAATTTGCTTTCTTTTCAAGACAAATAACCAAAAAAGTGTTTTGTAGCTCCTGTAAAGTCCTATGACCTGTCTAAGAAGATGATTACAAGAATCCTAGGTATGGATGAAAAACTGTTGGAACCGCAATACCAGTTTGTTCCTAAAGACATCAACCCAGGCAAATCATCATTTTGTTTGTATTTGGCAAAGCTGCTGTAGCCCCCAAGGGGAAATGAGAAGAATAACTTCTACCCAAAAGAGTAGCTGAGGGGACAACTAGGTCTGGGAAGAGAGAGCTCAGGGAGCATAATACATGGATGTGGCCCTTGTTTAGATATGTGTTCATTTCACTTTATTGGTCACATACAGTTAAGCTACCCAAAAGAGGGAAAGGAAAAAATGAGGGAAAAGGAAGAAAAGAGGAGAAAGGCAGTTTTATTTGTCATCTGAGCCATACAGCCTTCCACTAAGTACACGTATTAAAATCAAGATCAAATACTGCCTCTGACACTTACTAGCTGTGTGGTCAGAAGTGAGTCATTGAACTTGTCTGCACCTCAGTTTTCTTCATCTGTAATATGTCACTGGACATTGTGGGCCCCCAGAAGAATGTGAGCAGTGGTACCAAGCAGGTCGTGTGGTTGGAGCCAGTGTCATCTACTCTGGCTAGAACACAGAGGCTGGGGGGTGGGGGTGGGGAACAGCAGCATGTAATGGACACAGGGTCAGCTTTAGCATCAGAGAGAGCTGGGTTCAAGTCCAGTCTTTGACTCATATTGTCTGTGTGACTCTGAGCACTCACTGACCCTCCCAATGCCCCCAGGCAATCCTCTGAGACTACAAGTTAAGAGGAGGTGCTGATCTGAATTAGTAGGAGTAGTAGAAGTTGCTGCTTTGGGAGTTCATCCCACACAGAAAAAAACAAAACACAGCCCCAGGACCTTTTAGGCAGCATCTATTCTGTGCTCCTGAGCCTCAGTTTCCCTACCTAGGAATGGCATGGTGCTATAAGGGCTTGTGATATTCAGTCACTATGTTGTTCAATGCCAATAGTCACCTCCTAGCTAATCCTCTCTCTCTTTTCCAGACCACATACATGGGAAGATTGAAGTGGAAAAAGAACACATGAACAATTCATGTGAACATTATTTACTCAGGAAAGGATTCACTTCCCATGGAGGTTGGTGAAATGTTTTCATCCTAAATTATCGTGTCATTTTACACTGTCACTTCAGAACCATACAAATCACGGTTAAAAAGATGAGCAACTTATTGGGAAACCTGCTAGGCCCAATGCTCGGACCAAGCTGAGAGGATACCGGAAACTATAGGGCTTTTCTGGGGTCCAGAAATAGGCAGATGGAATAAGGGAGCCAAATGCTGAATATTTAGTATATCTGTACAGCTCAGACCCAGAGGAGGGAGCATGCAGTCAGGCCATTTGTAACTTCAAATGTTATTTTCTATTTTCTTTCTACATGTAAACTCCCATACTCCCATTATCCATAGTTGGTAATTTCAGGTGTGTATTCATGCCCTGAAAACCCACTCTCAGTTGAACAGGCTGCCACTACATGTATATTTTATGTGTCTGTCTGTCCCTGTCTCTATATCTGTCTCTCTGCCAGCCCCTCTCTCTCTCTCCCTCTCTATCTCTCTCTCTGTCTTTGTCTTCTCATCCCTTACTGTGTCTGTGTCTTATGTGTATGTCTCTATCATTCTCTCTCCCTGCCTCTCACACTCTATGTCTCTGTCTCTATGTGTCTCTCTGCTTCTGTGTCTTACGTGTATGTCTCTTTCTCTCTCCCTGCCTCTCTCGCTCTATGTATATCTGTCTCTATGTATCTCCCTGCTTCTGTGTTTTATGTTATGTCTCTATCTTTCTCAGTCCCTGCCTCTCTCACTCCTTGTCTCCCTATCTCTATGTGTCTCTCTGCTTCTGTGTCTTCTGTGTATGTCTCCATCTTTCTCCCTGCCTCTCTCGGTGTGTCTCTGTCTCTATGTATCTCTCTGCTTTTTTGTCTATCTCTTTTATATCGCTATGCCTCTGTGTCTGAGTCTTATATGTATATCTCTATCTTTCTCTCTCCCTGCCTCTCTCCCGCAATGTCTCTCTGTCTCCATCTGTCTCTCTCCTTCTGTGTCTTATGTGTATGTCTCTTTCTTTCTCCCTGCCTCTCTCGTTCTATATCTCTCTGCCTCTATGTGTCTGTCTGCTTCTGAGTCTCATGTGTATGTCTATCTTTCCCTCTCCCTGCCTCTCTCGCTCTGTGTTTCTCTGTCTCTATGTATCTCCCTGCTTCTGTGTCTTATGTTATGTCTCTATCTTTCTGTCCGTGTTTCCGTGCCTTATGTGTATCTCTCTATCTTTCTCTCTCCATGCCTCTCTTGCTGTATGTCTCTCTGTCTCTACATGTCTCTCTCCTTCTGTGTCTTCTGTGTATATCTCTATCTTACTCTCTCCCTGCTTCTCTCGCTCTATGTCTGTCTGCCTCTGTGTCTTATGTGTATGTCTCTATCTTTCTCTGTCCCTGCCTCTCTCGTTCTATGTCTCTCTGTCCCTATCTGTCTCTCTCCTTCTGTGTCTTATGTTATGTCTCTATCTTTCTCTCTCCCTACCTCTCTCGCTCCCTGTCTCCCTTTCTCTATGAGAAAGATGGAGATATAACATAACACACAGAAGCTGAGAGACACATTGAGACAGAGAGACATAGAACAAGAGAGGCAGGGAGAGAGAAAGAGATATACACATAAGACAGAGAATGAGAGAGACACATAGAGACAGAAACATAGAGCGAGAGAGGCAGGGAGAGAGAAAGGCAGAGACATACACATAAGACACAGAAGCAGAGAGAGACATACAGCCAGAGACATATAACTAGAGGTAGGGAGAGAGAAAGAGACATACACATAAGACAAAGAAGAAGACAGTCACAGAGAGACAGTGAGACAAAGAGCGAGAGAGGCAGGGAGAGAGAAAGACAGAGACAAACACATAAGAAACAAGCAGAGAGGTGCATAGAGATAGAGAGACATAGAACAAGAGAGGCAGGGAGACAGAAAGAAATACACATAAGACACAGAAGCAGACAGACATAGAGCGAGAGAAGCAGGGAGAGAGAAAGAACCCAGAGACTCAGAGACACAGGGACCTAGAGACTGAGAGAACCAGAAACCCAGAGGCTCAGAGACCTAGGGACCTAGTGACAAAGAGACCCAGGGACGAAGGGAATCAGGGACCCAGAGGCACAAAAATGCAGGGACCCAGGGACTCAGATATCCAAGAACCCAGAGACCCAGAGACCCAGAGATGCAGGGATCCAGAGACACAAAGACGAAGAGAGTTAGAGACCCAGGAAACAAGGAACCCAGAGACCCAGGGACCCAGGGACCCAGGGACCCAGGGACCCAGGGACCCAGGGACTCAGAGACCCAGGGACCCAGAGACTCAGAGACCTAAGGACCAGAGAGTAACAGACCCAGGGACCCAGGCACAGAGAGATCCAGGAATCCAGAAATGTAGTGACCCAGAACCCCAGCCTCCAGGACACAGAGCCTCAGAGATCCAAGGACCCAAGGAGTCAGAGACTCAGAGACACAGGGACCCAGGGACCCAGAGACTCACAGACCTAAGGACCAGAGAGTAACAGACCCAGGGACCCAGGGACAGAGAGATCCAGGAACCAAGAAATGTAGTGACCCAGAACCCCAGACTCCAGGACACAGAGCCTCAGAGATCCAAGGACCCAAGGAGTCAGAGACTCAGAGACAGAGGGACCCAGGGACCCAGAGACTCAGAGTACTAAGGACCACAGAGTCACAGACCCACAGACCCAGGGATAGAGAGATCCAGGGACCCAGAGACACAAAGACCTTCAAAGTCAGAAACCCAGAGACCAAGGGACCCAGAGACACAGAGACCTACAAACTCAGGGACTCAGGGCCTAGAGACCCAAGTACCTAAGGACCAGAGACTAAGAGACCCAGAGATCAAAGGACCAAGTGACCCAGAGACTCAGAGACACAGTGACACAGGGGCTCAGAGAAGAAACGCACAGACCCAGAGAACCAGAGAACGAGGGACCGTGGGACCCAGAGATGCAGAGACCCAGAGACCCAGGGACCCAAAGACTCACAAGCCCAGAGACTAGGTACCCAGAGACTCAGAGACCAAGAAAGCCAGAGGCTCAGAGACCCAGGGACCTAGTGACAAAGGGACCCAGAGACTCAGAGATCCAGAATCCCAGAGACAAAGAGACTCAGAGACCCAGAGACTCAGAGACCTAAGGCTCAGAAAGTCACAGACCCAGGGACCCAGGGACACAGACATCCAGGAACCAAGTAATGTAGTGACCCAGAGACCTGAGACTCAAGGACATAGAGACTCAGAGATCCAAAGACCCAAGGACCCAGAGTCTCAGAGACCCAGAGACTCAAGGACCCAGGGACAAAGGGACCCAGAGTCTCAGAGACCTAAGGACCAGACAGTCACACACCCAGGGACCCAGGGACCCAGCGACCCAGAGACTCAGAGATCCAGAGATCCAGGGACCCAGACACCCAGAAACCCAGGGACCCAGAGATGCAGGTACCCAGAGGACTAGGGACCCAGGAACCCAGGGATAAAAAGATTCAGAGGCCCTGGGACCTAGAAACTCAGGGACCCAGGGACTGGGGGACCCAGAGAGTCAGTGAGCCAGAAACCCAGAGACTCAGAGCCCCAGGAAGCTAGAGATTTAAAGATCCAGGGACCGAGGGACTAAGAATCACAGAATCAGAAAGCCAGGAACCCAGGGACACACGGACTCAGAGACCCAAGGACCCAAGAAACAAGAGACTCAGCGCAGAGACCCAGGTACCCAGAGATTCAGACACCCAGGGACTGAGAGACTCAGAGACACAGGGACCCAGACATCCAGAGACTCAGAGACCCAAGGACCAGAGAGTCACAGACCCAAGGACCCAGGGACAGAGAGATCCAGGAACCAAGAAATGCAGTGACCCAGGTACACAAAGATTCAGAGAGGCAGGGACTCAGACACCCAGAGATCTAGAGACCCAGGTAGCCAGAGAGTCACAGACCCAGGGACCGAGAGACTCAGAGGAGGATCCTCCTCGAGGAGGATTCTTACTGTAAGTGAAGAAGCTGAGGCAATAAAGTTAGAGAAAGTCATTCCTGTTCCCCACCCCCATTCCCTAGGATGTGGGCTGCAAAAGGAGAAAAGATCATATTGTCCAGAGAGAGAGAACCCACAAACCAAGGCTGCTCTGGCAGCCCGACCGAGGGTGAGGGGGTGGTCAAAGTCAACTGAGACTTTTTAAATACGAGGGAGCCCTAGGTAGAGGGCAATTTCCTCTGTAATATTCACTGGTTCCATTTTTCCTTAAGGGTCTGTTCTCAAGACCTCCTTCTCTTCTCCCTCTTTTTCTCTCCAACTACAATCTCATGAGTACCTCAACTATAACCCCACCAACACACGAGTTCCTCAGCTGTTACGGATGTGCTGTAGCTATTACCCCAATCCATCTATGAGTATCTCATCTGGCCCTCACCTTCTACATATGGCAAGGGCCTCAACTATCACTTCATTCATATGGATGAGGGCCTCAGGGGGCACCAACTGTGACCAGAATATACATATGATGGCTCAGCTGTCACTATGATAAATACAAACGTGTCTGTCAAAGTCTTACTTATCCTTCAAAGTCTAAATTAAAGGGTCTTTTATCTGCTGTTTCTCTGTATGGATGGGAGCAGTCCCACGCTTTCTATTCCCTGAAATCCACTCCCAACTTGGGTTCAGCCCCTACCCCAATCTCTGGCTGTTTTGGGAACTCTGTCCCCCTCCTCACTCCCACTCCCACCCCAGTGTCCCACCAGAAAAGTACAAAGCACTAGATACATTGGAGAGAGCAGGAGGAGTCAGGGGAGACTTCCTGGAAGAAGTAGCATTTGCGTTGGGATTAAGAGGATAGTAGGGAAAGAAACAGACTCCGATTATACTCATCAGGAAATGACACTACTACAAATGTATTGTTGGAACTGTGTCACGTGGGGCCTCTTTATTTTCTGATACGCAGAGACTCAGAATATGGTGATGGTGACAGATGTATCCTTGCCTTGCTGCACAAGGGCCGGCGTTGATGGTAAGGAGGGCGTCTTCC